CTGATTAGCATAGTTTTCGCCTTCAATGACTTGGCAGTCGTCTGACTCCCAACTTGTTTCATCGTCGATGTTTATGAATAAACTTAAACAAAAACCGATGATACCAACAAATAATGATGAATACAATATAAATTCAAATGAAAATATATCCATTTTTTTTTTTTACAAAAATCAACTATTATTAATAAATAAAAAATACAAATGATATAAAAAAAAAATTATTTACAAATAAAAAAAATATATATACAAAACAAAAAATATAAATATATATAAATTATATACAAAAAATATATACAAAACAAAAATATAAATATATATAAATTATTTACAAAAATAAAAAAAAAATAAAGGAATATGTAGAAGTGAAAAAAAAATAATGACTGTTATTAAATATAATTGATTGTAAAAAAATGAAGCTGATGGATTAAAAACTATATGTATGTGGTAAGAAACTATGATTTTTAATGAAAAAAAAAAAAAAAATTTTAATAAGCTATTTTTTAAAATTGAAAAAAATAAAAAATTTTTAAAACAATAAAAAAATAAAAAAAAATAAAATTAAATAAAAAAACAATTGTTTATAATTGTATGAGTTTTATATTATTATAATATATAACTAATCATTCAATAGAAAGATTGATAAATTAATTAAATCTATATATGATTTAAAAATTTCATTAAATTCTCTCTCGATTGATATCCAGAATACATAGGTAACTTATTTTTAAATTAATTATAATTATTTTATTTGTTAATTTTATTATTCATTGTTAATTTTTTTAATATTTTGTATATTTATTTTTGAAGCTATTCCATTATTCAACTTCACCTTTATTAAATTATTTTTGTTTTCAATTATATTATGTCCTATTTATTTAATAATTTTTATTATTTTATTTGTTAATTTTATTATTCAACTTTGGTGCTGCGACATTGGCTCAAAGAGAATGTGTTGAAAAAGGTAGAACCAGTGATGGTGGTCGAATGTAATAGAAAAAATAAATATTCATCAACATCAAAGTGTTGGGAAGATTGAAAATTGTTTAAATATCAGCACATCATTTATAATAGCAACTGTTTGAAAAATCAAAGTAAATTCAAGAGGACAAGTAGTGATTCAAAAAGGTTGTTGTTATAATGCTAAGAGTAATAAAATTAAAAAGATAGAGATGAGGCAATTAAAACTTTAGAGAATGAGTTTTTAACTGGTCAGTCAAAGACGACAATTAATATTACCCAAATTAAATCAATTGAAAGAGAAATTTAAAGAAAACAAGGAAATACCTAAAAATGCTGATGTGGATTTTTTGAAAGAACAAGGAATGAAATTTAAATAGATATAGAAAATATAATAGAAAATTATACAAAAGAAATAGAAAATAAGAAATGAAATTATAAATCAAATAAAAAATATAATGAAGTACTCAAAGCATTAGTAATGGTGAAAATCCATCAGTAATGTCGGCAGAATATGAAAAAAATACACAACCAAATAATATTTCAGAATAAAACAAAATTTTGTAAAATTTAAAATAAAAATAAATAAAAAATATAAAGCTTTAATTTTATTATTTCTTTAAAAAGATGAATGAGTTTTAGCTATCATTTTCTTCTTTTGTGTTCTTCCTAATAAACAGAATTACATGATTCGGATTCTAAAACAGAAATACATGATTCGGGACTCTAAAACAGAAATACATGATTCGGATTCTAAAACAGAAATACATGATTCAGGTTCTAAAACAGAAATACATGATTCGGATTCTAAAACAGAAATTTATTTGTGTTAGTAATTCATATATTTTCCTTTTTTATTCAACGAATCCCATTTCTAAATAGATTTGATGTTTTTGATAATGTTTTTATTTACTTACTTATATTTAAAGGTTTTTAAAAGTATTTCAATGCACCCGTGTCTATAAGAGATCTAACCAAAATTATTATTTTTTTAATTGTTGATCTAGTTGATTACTACATTCATCTAGGGTATTATCGAAGTGTTGGAGAAGATTTGAATATTGCTCCATAAGTTGTTTATTTTCAATTTCTTCTTCACTTGTTAGAACACTTAGACTTCCAAATGAATTTACCAAATCATCCAATTGGTCAGAGTCTTCGAGTTGGTGGTTGTCTTTTTCCCAACTCTCTACTTGGGTGATGCTTTTTTTGGTAAATAATTTACCAAAACGAAAAGTTGAATAAAAACCAATGGCACAAACTAAAAATAAAAAAATATACAAAAATAAAAAATAATCCATTTTTTTTTACAAAAATATTAAAGATATAAAATAAATTATATAGAAATAAAAAAAATAATTATTATTTACAAATAAAAAGAAATATAAAGATATAAAAAACAATATATTATTTTAAATGAAAGCGATTGTAAAAAAATATGAAGCTGATGGATGAAAAATTATATGTGTGGTGTGAAAGCAATAATTTTTAATGAATAAAAAAAAAAAAAAATTTAATAGTCTATTTTTTAAAATTAAAAAAAAAAAAAAAATTAATAAAACAATTAAAAAAAAATAAAAAAAAACAAAAAAACAATTGTCTTTTTTATAATAAATTATTATAATTTATAACTAATGAATTTAATTCTATAGAATAGTTTCAGCCTTATCTTTTTCATAAAATTTTAGATTGAAAATATTAATTAAATCTATTTGTTTGATTTAAAAATTTCATTAAATTCTCTCTCTATTGATATCCAAAATACATAGGTAAACTTTTACATTTAAAAAAAAGATTTGAAAAAAAAAAAAGATTAATTAATTAATTCATTAAATCAATTTAAAATTATAATTATTTTATTAAACATAAATTAATTTAAAATTATTCTAAAAAATTTAATTTTTTGTTTATAAAAATATTTTTTATTTTTTATTAATTTTTTTATTTATCACTTTATTCATTATATTTTATCCTTCAGTAGAGGTAGTCTTTAAAACTAAAACTTACATAGTTGTATTTAGTTTCCAATATTGTTTAAGAAAAAAATTCTATTAGTCAACTTATACCATCATATCTTTTTTATTTTTAACATAGTGTTTTTTTCAAATTAAAGGTAAATATTTAAAATTATTTTCAATAAATAATATAAATAAACAAACTAATTTTTATTTAAATATTATAGAATATATCCTAAATTAGAGAAAAGATCCAACATGGGCTGAAGGTTTGATCTCTGCTGTTAAAGCTTCGTCAATTCAAGAAATTGTCGGTGGGACTGAAAAGGCTTATTGTAAACTCTAAAGCTGTCACTGCCGCTACCCTCAACTTGGTTCCGCTTGTTAATCTGATATCACAACATAAAGTAACAAATGCTTAGCAACCTCTTCTTTAGACTCATTCCAATCCCCACTTCCATAATTTTTAGTATTACCAAATACTTCACTACAATTAAAAAAAAAAAAAAAAATTTTGTTATAATTATTAAAATTAGTTTAATTTTAAAAAAAAAATAATATAAATAATTTAAAAAAACAAAAAATCTAAATTTGGTTTAAAATAAAACACATCCATTTATATTCTCAATATGATAGAGCTTTTAAAAAGAGAAAAAATATTATAATTCTTTAAATGATCGAAAATCCTAAAAATTTGACATCAAAATATATTTTTTTATAAAAATATCTTTTTACCAGGTTTTTTTAAAAAAAAATTTTAAAAAAATATCGGTTTCTAATGATTCCAAAATGCTAATTTTGTAAAAGAATGTGACATATGGCAATAATAAAAAAATAAAAAAAATAAAAAAATAAAAAAATAAAAAAAAAAAAAAAAAGAAAAAATTTGACGGATTTTGTATTTGTAAAAAAAAAGATAATAGTCATATGATAGTTTTAGAACAATCAAATATGTTATTGTAAATTTAAAACAATACGAAATGGTTTTACACTCATTAATTGAAGTATATATCGAAATTTAAAAAAAAAATATTTTTTATTTATTTGTTTATTTTTTTATTTAATAAAAGTTCTTTTTTTATATAAAATTAAAATTTTATTTTAAACCTATAAATGGAAACTATAAAATTTGATCATTGACACTTTTTTTTAAAATGTTCACTATTTTATTTTTTTTTTTTAATTTTTTTTTATTTTTTTTAAATATATTTTTTTTAAATTTTTGTTACCCCTACTGACACATAATTTAATTATTTTTTATATTTTTTATAAATTATTTTTTTTCATTATTATCAATATTTTTTTTAATAATCATTTATAAAATTTTAATATTAATAACTTCAAAAAATAATAATAAAATTTTTTTTAAATTATAATATAACAACATTAGATTTAAATAATAATCAAAATGAATAAAAAAATAGTAGAATTAATAGCTTTTTTAGTTTTTTCCATGTTTTTAAATATAGTATTCTCACCTATCAAATTCATTTTTTATTTAATTTATTATTCAATCTATTCAATAATGATTGGTATATTATTAGTTTCAATTCTTTGTTTAGGTATTCTAATAGAAGACCTTATTAGATTATTTGTAATTATTGGTAAAGATGTAGTTACCATTTTTATAAATTCAATAATTAGAAAAAAAAATAGTAGCAATAATAATAACAATAACAATAACAAAAATACTAAAAAAAATAAAATTATTCAAGAAGAGTTCCAAAAAGAAAACATTAAAGAACATGATCATATTCATTTTGACACCGATGAAAATTACGATCCAAACAAAATCATATATGATCAAGATCTTGGCTTCACAGAGCAATTGATCAAATTTAAAAGTGAAGCAAAAAAGATAGTATATGATACAGATAGAGGCTACGAATTAATCCATGGTTTAATCAAACATGTCGATTGCTTTTACGACTATAGCTTCCATTTGATTAAAAAGAGAAGATCATAAAATTATAAGATTAAAGAAATTAAATTGCCATCACACACTCGGGGTTGTCTAAATAGAGTCTAGATTGTTTTTCAATTTTAGCTTTTATACTTCAACTTTCGTGGTGGCGCATTTAATTCTTAAATTACTTAAAGGAACTTCTTATGTACATAAACGAATAAAAAAATAAAAAAAAAGTTATTATTATTTATTTATAAAATAAATTTTTTTTTTTTTAATTTATTTTTTTTTTAATTTTATTATTTTTTTTATTTTAAATTTATCTCTAATATTTATTTTAAAATTTTATTTAAATTCTTTTTTATTAGTCGATCATTTTTTACTTTACTCCTGATAATATAAAAAAATTTAAACAAAATTATTAAAGTACAATTTATTTTTATGTTTATCTTGTTATTTTTATCCTGTTTGTTAAAGAGTCTGGTATTGGTTGTGAATAAATTCTATTTAGTTTTAATTGGGTAACTGATTGTGGAATAGTATTTGGGTCTAGATTTTGATTAAAACCATAACCAAAGGCTAATGAAGTGAGGGATTCTACCTTTGCTCCAGCTCTTGCAGCGGCCACTAATAAAAGTTTGTAGTATTTTGAACACTCTTTGCAGCATTTGTATGTTTATGTTGTGATGGACTATTAATATAAGATTTACAAGCAGAAATAAGTTGAAAGGTAGCGGCAGTGACTTCTTTAGAAGTAGCAATAAGAGCCTCTTCAGTACCAAATACAATTTCCAACCAAAGCTTTATTGGCGGTATCTACCAATGCTTTGGTTGCAGCAGCAACAGCTTTAGCATTAGAGATTAATTCTATACATTGGATCACCATCTTTAGTTCTAACTTTTTCGACACGTTCTCTTTGAGACAATGTGGCAGCACCCACCAAAGTTGATGTAGTTCTAGTATTTGCCAAAGCAGCTTCAAGAATAGCTTCCGCGACATCAGGACTATCTTCTTCTTTCTTTAGTTCTCTCTCTGACTTTGCAACCAATTAAGAGTTAATCTTCAATGGTTGTAGCTAATAATTCTCTTTCGGCAATATAATCAAAGTCGAAACCACCCTCTAAATACTTCTTTTCTTTTTCAATTCTATCGGCATCGGATTGTTGAGATAATACACCCAAAGCATTGACTCCACCTATAAATGAAGCTAAATTAATTACCAATCTCTTACGATCATCTTGACATTGACCACCTTGAAGAACTTTTCGACTCCAGCTTTGAGTGCATTGATTTCTGATGTATTATTGACAGTTTTAGTGATGATTTTAGTGATAGCTCTGGTTTTGCCTTTACCATCGGTATCTCCATTACTATATGAGAAATAAAGCAATACCAATTAGTTGTAGATCATTTGTATTGTCTTCTTTACAATAAGATCTAGGCACTGGTAAGTTAAATTAAACATATTTCAGTACTGTTAAACCATATGTTTTAAATTTTGAGATTGCTATGTTAACATTATTAAAATTATTTATGTGTGTGTTTGTTGTGCATTGAAAAAAATAAAATAAAAAAATTGAAAAAATTAAAAAATTTTTTATAAAATTATTAGGTTTTTAAAAAATAAATATTATTTTAAAAATTTAAAATGGACGAAATGTGTTGATATTGACTAAAATTGGGGTAACTATAGAATAGTCATAAAAAGATCATTCAATACTATACCCCAATTGAACTATTTAATAATAGGGATGTTTTGTAATATTAGTAATCAACTATTGAACACCACCATAATATGCAGCAATAAATAGAGCATCGGACAACACCAAAGACAGCATATAATGTAAATGCTTTAAATAAAGCATTAAATCAGGTAATATTCCACTACTGTGATATTTTTAAAATTTAATTTCAATAGATTTTAATTTCTATACTATTCAATATAATAATAAACACAAAGTAATAGTTATAAGTCACTCAGTTATTGAAAATATATTAAAAGTAACTATATCAAAATATAATGTTAATAAAACAACAAAGTAATACGATCAAAAAATTAAATAAATAAATTAGTTATATTTTAAAATTAAAATTCTATAACATTAAAAATATACAAATAAATAAAAAAAAATAATTTTATTTAAGAAATATTTTATTATTATAATCAATAAAAATATTGTTTATTTATATTAATTTTTAAAACTTTAAATTATTATTTATATTGATTTAATAAATGGCCATTTTATTAAATTCATAAATAATTAATTTAGTTATAATTATATACTATTAGTTTAACAATGATTGGATCTTCTTTACAAGCTAATCTAAGTGGTGGTTTTTTACTTGCATGGTCCATTAATTGGTTTGAGTTCTTTATTTAACATTTATGAAACTGTATTCTATAATTTATTCTATAATTTATTCAGTTGTATTATTTCTTTTTTATTTTTTTGATCCTTTACTTTCTTCATATTCTTCTAACAAATCTGTACAATAACAATCACTTTCAGCTACCCAGGTTGCCTCTTTGACATCATATCCTTCCCATTTGATTAGATATTCTTTTATACCTCCACGTATACGCATTGAAAGAATTTTCTCTACGTTGTATATTTCATTTTCAGTGGATTCGTTTTTTTCGGGAAATTCAAAGAGTTTCATATTTTTAGCAACTAAGGCCAAGAATTTTTCATCTGTTTCAATTGGATCTCCAGGTCTATAAATGGAAAGAGCGGGTGGCGATACTGAAGTTTTATTTGAATGGTCAAAGTCGCCATTATCATTTCGTTTTTTTTTATCTCTTTCTCTTTCTTCATCATTTTGTGAAATTTTAATTTTTTTTTTTTTGTGTTTATCTTTTTCATCTCTTCTATCTCTGTCTATATCACTTTCTTTTCTCTTTTTTATATTTTCTTTTTGTCTTGCCCTTTCCTTTTCTTTTCTTCTCTTTTCTTTTTCTTTTTGTTTTTTCTTTTGCTTTTCTTTAAGTTTCTTTTCTTCTTTTTCTCTTCTAAGATTTTTTATTTGTTCACTTTCGCTGTAATTGGTCAATAAAAGAGTTGGGCCTTTATAATCAGTTTTATTTTTTCTTTCAGCAATTTCATTAAATTCATCCCAAGCCTCATGGACCTTTAGCATTACTCTTTTTTCAATTTCATCTTTTGTGTCCATAGCTATTACTCTTGGTTGTTGTTCTTGTTCTTGTTGTTCTTGTTGTTGTTGTTGTTGGGTTTGTTGATCAATATCATCATCAGAATTGTAGTTGGTAGTTGGAGTGTGTTGTGGGTGTGGGTGTGGGTTTGGTGTATATTGTTGTTGATGTTGTTGTTGTTGTTGGGTTTGTTGATATATATCATCATCAAAATTATAATGGACTGGTGTAGATTGTTGTGGGTAGGTGTTGTTACCGAATAAACCATCGTTATTGTTATTGTTATTGTTATTGTTATTGTTATTGTTATTGTTATTGTTATTGTTATTGTTATTGTTATTGTTATTGATATTGTTATTGATGGTTGTAATTATATTTACAAAATACTGAAGTCCTCTTTTTATATAAAACATTTTATATTTAAATATGATTAATAAATAAATAAATATATTATAAAAATTAAATGTTGTATTGATTTTTATTGTAAATTATTTGTATGCAGATAAATTAATAAAGAAAAAAAAAATAAAAATAATGAAATTTAAAAATTAAAAAAATTAAAATACAAAAAATAAATACAAAAAAATTTTTATAAACTAGAAAGAACTGTTTTGAAAATTCTAATTTTTTTATAATAAAAAGAAAAAATTAAAAAAAATAATTATAAAATAATAATTTAGCTTATATCTTTTTTTTATACTGATTATTGATCATTTTTTTTATTTGATTTCGATTTTTTATAAAATTTTCTTTTAAACGATATCCAAAAACATTATAAAAACTTTTTCATTTTAAAAATGATTTTAAAAAAAAAAAAAAATTTATTAATTGATTTTTTATGATTCTATGATGCATACAACTGAATTTAAATTAATAATTATTCGATTTACATAAGAATAAATATTCCATTTATTTAATTATTATATATATAATTTTTTTTAAGTTATTTATGAATTAAAAAAAAAAATAAGAAAGAAAGAAAAAAAAAAAAGTTTAAAAAATATTATAAAATCTAGTGTTGATGTAATCTAGTTATTTTGGTATGTTTACATAGTATAAAATGTTTTATATTCTACCTTTTCTTTTGATTTTAGTTTAGTTTTTAAAAATGAATAGCCAATTAAGCAATCAATTTACTTTTTATTTTTATTGACATTTTATTATTGAAGAGTGTGTATATAGACACAGGTATAAATAAAGCACATTATAATAAATAATATTTTTTTAAATTTTTTATTTATTATAAGTTTAAATTTTAAATTTAGTTGTTTATAATAAAATAATGTTTATGGTGAAAAATTATTAGAAAAAAAAAAAAATTAAAAATAAAAAAAATTAATTTTGAATTTTTTAAGTTTTTTTTTTTTTTTTATTAAATTTATCATCATTTATTGAATGCACTATAATATACAATAATAGTAATAATAATAGATTATAAGTATGCGATTATTTCAAAGATTTTTTATTATTCCTCAATGTTTGAAGGTCTTAGTGCACCTTACCCTGCTCATGTAAATGAACATATAGAAAGTATTCAATCAACTGGAATAAAAGATTACTTTTTCAACAATCACCAAAGCAGCTCCATATTTCGAGAACATAAAAATCTATTTTGCTTTTATAACTCATCTCAAAACCTTATTTAAATATTCTTTATATATTCGGAAGATATCTGGGAAGCTTTTAGGTTTAAGAAGGAATATTTAGGTTTTTTAGCTGCTTTAAACATGTCTTTTAAATTATATCTCGATTTTTTTGATCATTTGTAAGAAGGTATATTTAGAACCAAATATTATTAGATATTCATGGGATAAGAGGACTATTTCAGTTATTAAAGATTATTATAAAATTACAATGTTAAAATTCAAATAATATTATCATATACGCTAATTATTGGTTCATTTTCAGCCGCTTCAAATGTTTCTGGTATTTTAGAAGATACAATTGCAATTACCGAATTACTTAAACAATATAATGAAGTCTCTGGCTTATCGGCATCCCAAGAAATACAAAGTAGGTGATCAAATAATACCAACATCAACAACAACCAGAAACAATAGCAGTCGGACCAAGGCAATACTCATATAAAAGTAGTGCACTAAGACTACCTGAAAACAAAATTGAAATAACATTCTTTAATAAAAAGATATCTGATTCATAATCTGGAAAAAGATCAAGTATTAAAAGCAGTTTGAAAAAAGAATGTACAGAGATTATAGAATAACAATTAACAAATGCTATTGGAAGCAAAGGTAGATCAGGATCATTGTCAATTAACAGTAGAGGTAATAGTAAGAGATCAGGATCGTTCGCTGGTAGAGTGCAACCAGTTGTACAACCGCATCAAGAATACAGTAACCAAACCACACAGGAATTGAAATTACAAACCAATCACCACAAAAATCTTCTCCCATGGATTACATTTGATGACAATGATGTCCCGACAAAATTTATCATCGTCTGTTAGAGAATTACCATCATTTAAAAAACCCTCACCACCACTCCCAGCAGGAAGACCAGAACTATCACAATCAATTGATCATAATAATAATAATACAAACACAAATACAAGCACAAATACAAGAACCTGCAGTAGCTTAAATTCATCAACATCATCGCTACCATCTTTTTCACCTTCTAATGGAAACGGTTTTGCATCAATGAAACCACCTCTATCAAGACAAAATACACAATCACCAGTAAAGTTTTCATCATCACCACCATTAAAACCCCAACCATCAGCAACTAGCAATAATAGTAATAATAACAATAATAAATTCAATAAACCTAATTTAGGACATATGATAATTTTTATTAAAAAAATTAGTTAATGTTTTTATTTGGATTATATAAAGTAATGTGGCCACCACAGTCACCATTTTTCGTCATATTTTAATGATAACCTTCCCAATGTGTATTTGAAAGTTGACAAATATCGTATAAAAGATAGTATTTTTTTAACCGACGAACTATTATATATCAGGTTTCTAAACTTAAATTGATGTCTCCATAGATTTGATCGGATAATAAATACATATGGAGATTACCATCTTTTTGGACTTCCTTTTTATTCTTCAAATGGAAAAGTTCTTAACTTTTATTTAAAAGTTTAACGTCGACATTGGCATAGGTGGATTAAAAGTACAATTTTCCTATTCCATAGGTTCATAGTAAACATCTTGACCGGTATTAAAGGAGAGGAATTTTTAATGTATTTGGGTTATTATATGGTGATGATTGACCTAGTGGGTTTGTATAAATTGGTTTGATGGTAGAGGTCTATTCATGATAGTTGTATAACAGCAAATGGTAGTTGTCCACCAGAAACTGGTGGTGTATAAATCTATTTAATCTATTTTCTATTTCTATAAAAAATCTTAATCTCTGTGCATTATCCATATTTATATATTATATATTTAGCTAAAAATAAAAAAAATTTATAAAAAAAAATTTATTTAAAAAAAAAAATAAAAAAAAAATTTTGATGAATAAATTAAAATTGATTGATGTTTCTTATTAAATGGTGAAAAAATGTGTTGTTGTATTACTGTGAAATGATATAAAATAAGTGAAGTACATTATATACAGAAGAAAATGGGTGAAAATTTTAAAAAAATAAAATAAAATAAAATTTTTTAAATTTTATTAATTTAATATTTCAAAAATTATAATTATAAAAAATAACATTTAAATAATTGTTATATTACTTTTGTAATAATAAGCCAATTATCTGATATATTTTTAATTAAAAAATTGATAATAATAATTTAATATATTTTGTTAATTATTTTTTGTAAAGAAGATTGAAAAAAGTAATATAAAAAATATTTAATAAATGTAAGATATTATTAAATAACTATATGATTGTATAAACTATATATAGATATTAAAAAACAAATGGGACATGATTTTCATAAAAAATATAAAAAAAAATTATTATATAAAGGGAAATTGGAATAATGGAGCAGCTTCAAAATATATTTAACTAAATAATCAAATAATCAAATAAAATAAATATAATTGTTTTAACTTTTATTATAAATACACCTCGAACCACATTTTTTCATTAAAATGCAAAAAAATAAAAAATTAAATGGAAATAATAAAAAAGTGTTCGAGGTGTAATTTATTCAATTTGAATTAAACTAATAAAGA